AAAAATATATCTTTATTGATTTCAGAGAGAGGAAAGGAGAGGGTTAGAGAGAGAAACATCAGTGATGAGAGTCATTAATCAGCCGCCTCCTGCATGCCCCCGACGGGATGGAGCCCAAAACCCTGGGCACGTGCCCTGACGGGGAATTGAACCCGGATCACCTGGATCCTGGGTAGACGCTCAACCGCTGAGCCACGCCCCACCGGGCCGGGGTCCCCATTTCTGAGAGGCGGTGTGGGGGCAGCTGCAGGCGGGACCGGCCCGGCCAGAGCCTCGGAGGAGACCGGGGGCGGCAGCTGCGCGGCGCAGTGAGGAGGCGCTCGCGGGCTTCGGGCTGGGCTCCTGGGGGCCGCGGGTTGTTACGAGGGTCCTGACGAGCGGCAGGACCAGCGCAGAGTCTCAGAAGTGTCCCCGCCTCGGCTGGGCGCCTCAGTCTGTGGGCGCGTCATCCCAGGCACCACACGGCTGCTGGCTGGACCTCCCGCCGGGGCACCTACCTAGGTCTGGGTTCGATCCCCTGGCCACGGCTTGTACTGGAGGCAACTGATCAGTGTGTCTCACATGGATGACTCTCTCCCCCTCTAAACATCAATAAAAACATATGCTCAGATGAAAATTTAAAAAAACGAGTGTCAAGAGCAATGAATTGGCCCTGGCCTGGTAGCTCGGTTGGTTCAAGTACCCTCCCCGTACACCCAAGCTGACGGCTCAATCCCTGGTCAGGGCACATACAAGATGATGCATCAGTAAGTGGAACAATAATCAGCTAAAGACTGTCCTTAGTGGTTATACTCTTCCCAGGAAATTCTCTGGTGTGGACGCAGGTGGACCCACTGGTGACACGCCTGCTCTTTCTCTGCTAGGGTGTCCCTGCCCAATGAGGGCCAGCTGAGCTGCCGCCCAAGATACATTCACTGCATCCAGAGCGCTTCTCCCCAAGGGGACTGCTCCTGTGCTCCAGAGCTGACAAAAGCCCTCTCCCGCATTCTGTGCACTGAAGGGTATTTTCCTGCAGTGGGCCACGGAAAAGCAGTGGGTGAGGCCTTTCTTCAGGCCCGGCTCAGGTGTGGACCCGCTGGTGCTGCAGGAGGTGGGACCGGCGTTTGAAGGCCTTGGCGCAATGGCTGCACTGGTAGGGCGTCTCCCTGGTGTGGATGACCGAGTGCTGCAGCAGGTACGTGCTGCGGTGGAAGGCTTTCCCGCACTGTGCGCACGCGTAGGGCCTCTCCCCGGTGTGCACGCGCTGGTGCTGCTGGAGCTCGGCGCTGCACCGGAAGGCCTTGCCGCAGGCCGCGCACTCATGTGGCTTCGCGCCGCCGTGCACCGCATAGTGCTGGACCAGGTGTGCACGGATGCTGAACGACTTCTCACATTCTTTGCACGCAAAGGGTCTTTCCCCGCTGTGGGTCCTGTTGTGCCGAATGAAGGTGGAGCGGTGGCTGAAGGCCTTCCGGCACTGGCCGCAGGCGTAGGGCTTCTCCCCGGTGTGGATCGGGTGGTGCTGCACCAGGTAGGACCTGCGCTTGAAGGCCTTCCCGCACTCGGAGCAGGCGTAGGGCTTCTCCCCAGTGTGGATGAGGTAGTGCCGGATAAGGGTGGAGCTCTGGCTGAAGGCCTTCCCACACGCGTTGCACTCATAGGGCTTCATGCCGGTGTGAACCCGCTGGTGGCGGGCAAGGTACCACTTCCTGCTGAAACCTTTCCCGCACTGCTTGCATCTGTAGAGGCTACTCCCCGCCTGGATCCGGAGGCGTTTCCCTCCTCCCTCTGGGTCACCTTCATGGAGAATATCTCCCCTGGAGAGTCTGTCCTGCAACAACTTGGAGGGCAGACTGTCATCTGTCCCCAGACGGTCATCTTCAAGCCTCATTTTCCCAGGATGGGTCTCCTTGCAGGGGTCTTTCTCTGGCCTCATTTCCAAAAGCTCTTCCCAATCCGTGGCTTGCTCCAGCTGGGAGTCCCTTGTCGATCCCGGAGTCAGGCTTCCCAGAAGCAAGGCTCCCTCATGCAAAACCAGCTGAGCAGTGCTTGGCTGTCTGTTCTGAAGTTCTGCTCCATCACCTGAAGAAAATCCAGGACAGGAAGACTTTTAATGACACAACACAGAGGAAGCACAGGCAACACTCTTTAGCGGGCGAGTGAGGGTGAAAATACCACCCTGGTATTTGCTGTGTTTTCACGTCTTTATAACCTAGGATTCCAGTGACTTTTTATGGTCCTTGTACCCTTGACACCATTAAAGGGAAAATCTGGACAGTGGGCTGGACCAGGGGACAGAAGACCTGGAGTGGAGACCCCTCCTCATAGTCCAAAGAAGGGGAGGGAGAGCAGTTCTGATAACACTGGGGGGACTAGGAACGTGCCCCTAGAATTGATGTTGATGTCTCTTGGTGCTGTATCAGCACGTGGCACCTGACAACACTGGGAAGAAAAAGAGGTCACCTTCCTAGATGGGGTGTCTCTGAGCTGGGTCCTGATGAAGAAGTCACTGAGAGTTTCACACAGAAGTTCAGAGGCAGTGGTATTCTGAGGGCTGCCATGAGCCCACCTGTTGGCCCCTACCTGGACAGGTGCTCTGTGAGAGGCCTCTCCTCACCCTCCACAGCTCCTGCCCGTGCTCCAGCAGGTGGGTCAGCTCTGGCTTGGGAACTGGATGCCCTGTTGTGGAGAAAGAAACCAGATATGGGTGTTCTGCAGACAAGAATGAAATCTCGCCACCTATCTGGGACCTCACAGCAGGGATAAGACCGTGAATAAAGCTGGTCCCAAAGTAAAGAAAATGGCTTGTAATGTGGACACAAATCCTACTCAGGCTGCAACTGTTGTGGAGAGTGGTGCTGTCTGCCCTTGAACTTCAGCAGTTGGTGCCACGGTGCTTCAGGTGCACATCACTTTCCCACACAGCCACAGGATGCAAGGAAGGTGAACCCACAGGTTTTCAGACACCCCATGCTTCAGAACCTCCTCGGGACACCAGATTCCAACCTCACCCAAAAGAAACACAACCTCTTGTGGTGAGGCTCAGGCATCAGTATCTGTGAAACCTCCCCAGGGTTCGGGTACCCAGAGAAGACTGAAAACTGCTGGTGGAAGTCTCCTCCTTCTGAAGAGAAAGCTGGTAATCCTGCGTGGGAGGAGAGGGCTGAGCAAGGGCACCTGCTGCCTCAGTCACTGCCGCAGCCTCCACCATCCCTGCCAGGGTGCGGCAGATGCCTGGTCCGGGGAGAGGAGCAGAGAGAACCTTCATGTGATTCTGTTATATGCTGTCAAGTACATCTCAACAGAGACCGGAAAGTTCCTTCTGCAATTCATCATAATTCACCTGAGAATGATGCCAACTTTCCCAGCACCCACACTGTGCTGTCATTACTGATGGTGTCTCTTCAAACTCACCCACGTTTTATTTTCTTAGAGTACCCTCTTTTTCTCTGGCAAACAAGAAAGGTTGGTTTCATGCCCCACAATGGAAAGTTACCATCAAAACACAACAATGAAATCAAAACAGTGCCACTAAGTCCCAGTGAGCTCATGCAGAAGCTGAGGACTGTGAGCTGGAAGCTGCTTGCTCTGTTGAAAAGAGTAATTAGTCACAATTTGGTGACATAAAAGACTCAGCATTGGCGAGACTTTCTCTTGACAACAACCAGCATGCCAGACAGAGAAGGCAGAAGGACTGGCTTTAGCAGGACGTCCACTCATGTCATCTCATGACATTCCTACGCACTTTCTAAATCATCTCCCATGTGGCCCAGGCCTCAGGAAACGAGATGATCGTGTACACACCAAGGGCCTTTATATCAAGATTGTGTTGTTTAGAAGACCTCTGGGTGGCACTGATGACAAATGTCACGTGGGAGTCTGCCTAACTCACCCTCTCTTCTGAGAACACCCCATCACCCACAGCTTTGCTAACTGGGGACACTTCTCCAAACCAGGCTGGGCCAGTCACGTCCCCTCCTGTGGAGTCTGGGATACAGACCTCAGACTGAGGCCTGAGTGTGCTGGGCCCTGGGGGGAGGGTTCGAGTGCAGAGGGGCATTGTTTCTATCCCAACAATCCCTGATGCAGACACAGATCAGGCAGGAGGAGGAGGGACCAGGAAACTGCAGGGGCTGTGGAACAGAGAGAAGGTGGCTTCTGTGATCATCTTGACCAGCCAGAAATCAATATTGGGGTCCCTCACAGGGACAAGGAGTGAGTACTTACCCAGTGAGACCAGGAGCCTGCAGGTCTGCAGCATTACCTTCTGGTACAGGGTCCTCTGAGCCAGGTCCAGCAATTCCCACTCCTCCTGGGTGAAGGTCACAAACACATCCTTGAAGGTCACTGGTGCCTGGAAAGTCAAACACAGTATCATCATGTGCCTTGGGGTTGTTGGGTGAGATCAGAGCCTGTCACTCAGTCACTGGTGAAGGTGCAGAGGGGAGCCAGGCCTGAATCACTGCAAGTCTCCTGAGGGCCGAGCTCTGTGCCGGGCTCAAAGGGGAGGAAGAATGTGGCCTTTGGACATAATGCAGTTGTGGCTGAGAGAAAGTCCTCTCCCAGGGAACTGAGTGGAGAAGACAGGATGATGGTGTTCCCATGAGAGAGAGAGAAAGAAACATCCACACATCACTTCGTCACCTCCCTCTCGGGCCCCAACCGGTCTGGGACAAACCTGCAAGGTAGGTACATGCCCTTGACCGGGAATTGAGCCCATGACCCTTGGGTGTGTGACCCACGCTCTAAGTACTGAGCTACACCGGCCAGGGCTCATTGGTGACCCTTTCCATGGGCTCACTCTTGAAATACAACTGAATGTCCTGAACAGGAAAATGGATTCGCTACTGTCAGTGGGAAGCCAGTTCCACGCACTGTAAACAGAAAGGTAAATTCCATGGCCTTGGCTTCCAGCTGCCTGTCACCTTTTCTACCCTCGAGTGGCTGCAGTCCCAAGACGCTACTCCCGCCCCTGCCCGACCCAGCCTCTTCTGTAGAGGCCGCCGGCCTGGGAAGGCGTCTCCGTGGAAACGCTGCCCCGCGCTGGGCACTGCGGGGCGCACGGCACCCACGGGTCCCTTCTAGTTTCCTCAATCCAGACGAGACACTGCCGGTATCCCTATTTTATACCCGAGGAAACAGGCTCAAGGCAGCAAGGGGCTTGCTCAAGGTCACGGCCAGGGTCAGGGGCGCCGGGGGACCCGCAGGAGGCTCCCCGGCGCGCGGCGTCTCTCCCTTCAACGCGCCACCCCAGGTAGCCCCCGGCCAGACGGCGGCGCGGAGCCGAGAGGGACCCCATCCCGGGGACCCGGGACGCCACGGCCCGGACGGGACGAGGCAAGGCAAGGGGTCCCCGGACCCCGCGCTCCAGAGCGGGCGAGGGACCTGGGCCCCGGTCCACTCACCTGCGCCGGTGACATCGGCGCCGCCATCGGCCCT